CACACACACACACACACATATACACATATGCTCATCTCATGCTCAAACACTCGTTACGACATTTAACAAAAAATTTCTATATCCGACCTAGACATATGACAGATAGATTATTATTAAAAAACAACTCCAATATATTTCTTGTTTTCTTCGATACAATTACGCTCGATTTCATTTATTTCAGATGGTTAAATATATCGTTGAAACAAAACAAAAAAGGAAAAAACAGAAATCAAACACGAAAAGAAATTATATAAATATTAGAAAATTTCCAATAAATAATTATCTTCTTCTTTTTTTTTTTTTTTTGTAAATGAATTATTGCTTCTAAATGACGGCAAATGTTTGTTATCAACGTGGTCATTGTCATTTGAAGAAGAATGTCAATAGAAATGCTAAAGAATTATCTTTTTACTTTTTCTTTTTGATTACACATTTCTCATATAAAAAAAACAAAAAGAAGTCAATTATAATAATTTACCTGAGCAAGTAATACAGATTCTTCAAGTTCAATTAAATGTAATTGATGTTTTCTTTTCATTAAATCACTAAGTTGATTAAGTATTTTCTTGTCTGATCTATATAAATATATTTATGTTATATTAAGAGAAGAAAATAAAAAAGAAAATATTTACCGTTGTTGATCATCATATTGTTTAACTGGAATTTTTGATGTTTGTGGATTAATAATTGCTAATAATAATGATTTTTCTTTTTTAATTTCTTTTAATCGATTTATTGTTTCTTTACAATGTGATGATAATTGCATTTGTATAACTGGTGCAGCATAAATTATTAATTGTTCATCTTTACCTGATGATATACGTGAATTAATATTACTATTATTCATTGGTGATATAAATGATTCAAATTGTATATGAACAGGAGATTTTGATGATCCATCATTTGTTTCATCCATAGAACAAATATAATTTTCTAATTCTTCATTTGCATTTGTTGTTGTACTTGTTACAACAAATGAAGCAAAACTTGAATGACGTTGTTCGTGCTATAAATGACAAAAAAAGAAACAATAAAACGATAGAATTATATGAGGTTTATTTTATTTTTTTCTTTTTGATGTATTTTTATAAGAAAGAAATTTGATTATATTTAAACGAACAAAATACTACCGATTGACGATTGCCCATTGCTGTACAGATAATAACAATATGTCAAATGGCATAGAACAACAACAAAATATCTGTACCACTTTACATCTAATATAGGAAAAATGTTGTACAGACCAATATCTTCATCATATAACAAGCCACTATGCAAATAAACAAATATAGACTTGTTCGATAAATAAGAAAATGTACGAATCTGTTTTAACTTAATACCAAATCTTTTATAAGTATTTTGTCCTTCAAAAAACAAAGATTAAAAATGATAGTATAAACGAATTTATTATAGATTTTAGATAATTATTTGAAAGAAAAATTATTAATTTCATATTTCAAGTTTGTTTTGAAAATAAATAATCAAATCTATTAAGCTTAGTTGGATTTAAAAAAATACTCATATATTTCCTTTAGTAACTTTTATGTAGTACAATCAGTAATTCTTCTGAAAAATGATATAAAATAAAAAATATCATATATCACTTTATTTCTCTATAATAATACGAAAATGAAATAGAGAATAGAAGTCTAAATTTTATTTCAAAAAATCTAATACTATAAAATCATTTAATTCTTTTCCATGTCTTTAATTTTTGAAATAAAAATTATTAGAAAATTCAATCTTATATTACAACAACAAAAACAAAAAAAATTGATTTATTAATATTTCAAAGGAAATATCCATCCTACAATAACAATCAATTTCATCGAGGTATTGACATTTTTCATAGTTAATTCATTAACCTAAAAATAATAACATCAATTTGACAACGTCAAAAAAAAAAAACTGATACTATTATTATATTCTTCTAAATAGAAATCTGATATGAAGATTATCATAGCGTAATATCTTTGTCTTTTATTTGATTTAAAATATATTCTCTTATTTGTCAAAGAAACAATTCTCATTATTATGCACTAATAAATATTAAAAAATAATATGAATTGACATGTTTCATATTTAAAAAGAAAATAACTATTCTGATTATTTCAAAAATCGATTGTTTTTTTTATTTTTGTTCTCTTACATGTTCTTGTAAAACAGAAGCCATTAATTGTATATTTTGACAAATTGCATCAATTGTTTCTAATTGTGATTGTTCCATTCCCTAATTTGAAAATAAAAAAAAAATCAACAAACAAGATATTTATTCTATTTAATCTTACTTGAAGAAGTTCTGGTAAAATATTATATTGATATTTTGAATAAAGACTATTAACACCAGCAAGTTCAAAAATATATTGATTATGAGCAAGATCAAAATCTGATGTAACACCTTCAGTATTAAATATTTTAAAATATTCATCTTGTGACTATTATAGTAAAAGAAAAAAAACATCCGATTAAAATAAACTACTGATTTAAATCGACTTAACCATTGTTTCTTTTTTTTTTTTTAAGAACAAAAACATACTTCTCGTACAAATTCATGACCTTTTTCTAATATTTCATTAAAATCACGACGATGTTCTTTATTAAATGTTAATTGAAGATTTTTAGTAGTTATACAATTTGTTAATTGTCCACTGATTTTTTTTTCCATGATGCATGCAACTTTTTTTAAAGACTTAAAATTAAAAAAAAAAAATATATATATATAGATTTATCATTAATTTTTTATTTACTTGTGATTCGATTTCAGATTCAAGTAATAAAGATTCCCATAGATCATACATTCTTCCACCTAGATGACATCTTATACAATTAAAAGATTAAATATATATTTTTGTTTTATTCTATTATAAATTTAAAATTTACTTTCCACGAATTTCATTTTCAGTTTTTCGACGAAAATCAATAACCAGTTGATGTAATTGTGATGAAGCTAAAAAACATATTTTAGCCCATTGATTATTAAAATCAGTAACTAGAGAAAACAATATAATATAAGAAATAAATATATAAAAAAAAAGAAAAACAGAATATTTATATTATATATTAACTTAATTTAGCAAAAGCAATCGTCACTTCTGTATATTCAACTAATTTATGCCATACTTGTGGATGAGCAAGATCAACAAAACTTAAACGACGTCGTGTAGTATTTGCCATGTATTCAATCTGAAAAGAAAAAGAAAATTATTTGATCAAAATTCGTAAAGACATTATATTAAAATAGAGAATATGTCAAGCATAGTGATAGTCTATTAATTTCATAAACAAAATTTGATCAACGGAACGGATCTTTGTTGCCTATAGTCGTCAGTAATATCATATTCCAAAAAGAAAAAAAAGATGGAACTTTTTTCTCTTCAGATAATAGTCAAGTGAGCATGTATACTCAAAGATGGTGTCAATCATTTTTCTCTCAACATAGCCGATGAATTCTATCTACTATCGCAATCCTTTTTTTTTTTTCTTTCCACTCTTTTTAATGATTTTTTTACATAGTTTTGATGTATGCATTTAGATTTTCTTACTTATACATCCTTAGTTTGAGATTGTTTTTTTGCTTGTTACAAATGCCTTTGCGTGATCGATTATATGGCTCAAGTTATTTCATAATAATTAAAATATAAATTTCGCAATTTCAAATAGAACACATATAAACAAGAGAAAATCTTACGCATCAATAATCATCATATCTCGAATAACTTAACGTCTAGAAGAATGAAATCACGACATAGATTAGTTGTTGTTAAAAGAATTGGGCATATATATATGCATATATATATATATACAAACCGTCATGAATGTCATTTTATTATTGTTTAGAATAAAACTAGAAATAACACAAGCAGTAATATTCGAATTACGCTACTTGATTCATGTTGACAACGGCACGATGAGTGTCATCATCTTGATGAATCTCATTTTACATCTTCTTGATGATTGGATCAAATAAAGATACCCTTCATATATTAGTTTCATTAAAGAATTTTTTTTCTTTTGTCTATTTTTATCTTTTCAGTTAAGATAATTTTCATCAAATAAAATAATTGAAAGAATGTTAACATGATTTATTGAAGTAAAAAATTGATAAAAAATTGTTTCCTTTATTTTTTTTTTTTTTGTTTTATTATATAGAAAACATGTCACAATATTTCAGATCGGATGTAAACAACAATAAAATATATACAAATGACTTGCTTTTCAACTATAATAAAACATCAAAAGCTCTAGTTGACAACAGTCATCATCAATTACGAGCTTGTTGGCCATTAATCAATTCATATGATACATAATCGTCGTCCATCTATGGTTAAGACGACCTCAGACATACACTGTATAAATCAGATTATTCAAAACTATATTCTATTTTAGGATATTAAAAAAAAAACATATTTTTTACATATATGTATGCATTGATAAATATGAATATAATCTAATTGATCATGAATTGATTCTACGAGAATATTTAAATCAAAAGAAATAGTCAGGAAAATTTTCATTTTTCGTTTGAGTATATTGTACTCTTTAAGAGCTTTTTATTAGTAGTTTAATAGTACTTCCTTTTATATCAACGAAATCATAAGTATATAATGAAAGAAAAAATAAAAAACAAGAAAAATGTATTTGCATTCTCTATTTTTATTTGCGTATTCGAACCAATGTCATTTTGTTCTTCCTTCTTTGCTTATTACTATTCTTCCCAGCTGCATTGAGAAAGGAAAAAAAAAAGATACGTATAGCGCCATATAACCGTATTAGCTAAGCCTCTATTTTCTTCATGAATAACAACACGCACGAATCACGCGTTGGCAATATGCACATTTTTTTTTCAATGAAACAAAAAAACTATAATCACGTACCTTGTACTCAAAGCAATACTATATAAATATTGTCTACCCTCTTCGTTTTTCTCCACAAATATTTTACGACAATTTATATCGTCGTTAAATTCTTTTTTTTTTAACATACAAATCAATAAAATTAATATGGCTTCAATGAATTATTGTTTAACTATATGTCATGCAGCTGAAGGACAACATAAACAAAAAATTCAACAACGTGTAACACAACCAGTTGATATTCCGAAGCCAACTTCATATAATAATAGTACTAATTTTTTTGGACGTATTTTATCATTTGGTTCAACATTAGCTGTATCAACATCAGGACTTAATAGTCCATTTACTTCTACATCTTTAAGTTTTACTGATATTGATGAAAATTCATTCTAAATTAATTTATTATCAATAGAATGTAAATGGACCATTTGTGACGTATCAGATAAAAGAAATACTCAAAAATAAAAAAACACAACGTGTTAAGGTGTGTTAAAAGTTAAAAATAGAATCTTATGTCACGTAGTGAAATATTTATTTGTGCTTTAGAATTTTTGTTCTTATGTATATTTATTGTTTCTTTCTTTCTTTCTTTTTATTGTATAAAGAAAAAAAAAACTCAATTAGAAATGTGCTATGAAATTGTATAACTAAGTTTTAATTATGATTAAAATTTTGTAGACGTTGAATAATTCTATAGGTAAAAATAATTTTTTTTTTTTATTTAGTGCAATAAAAAAAAAACAAAAAGGATAAAAATAGAAATTTTAAGTATAGTAATGTTTTTTTTTAAGAACACTTAAACTTTCTAACCCATCATTAAGCCGGCAAATTCCCATTGTAACTAAATATTTGTTGTTGCTTTTTTTTTTTTCGAGCTCTGAATTTAATGAGAAAATTCCCATTCTATTAACAAACAAACAGTAAAAAAACAAAGGATATCTTAAGACATAATAGATTCCAAGCAATCAACACAAAAAATAAGAAGAAAAAACTAAATTTCTTTATAAGAAGTATCGCCTCTATTGTCTCGATTGCTTTCTTTTTTTTTTTAATTGTTGCTGTTTATTTTGATAAAGCAAAAGACAATACGAATGATTACCGGCTATGACGGTAGATTAATAAACTTTCATTGTGAATCATGAAAGAATAAACACAAATATATATTTTATAGAAAGTCGTTGCTATACTAGAAGGGAACAGATAGTAATGCATGATGGTTTTTTTTTTTTGTTTTTCTTTTCTCATAAATAAGCGAACAAAGAAGAAGAAGAAGAAGAAACAAATTTTTGTAGATAGTAACTGTACAGTATTGAAAAAAAGAAACAAAACAAAAAAAGAAAAATCTAATTGTTATTTTCTTTGATTTGTGTGCTGCTGCTGTTGTTGTTGTTGTTGTTGTTCATATCTATGAATTTTTCCTTCTAAATTCATTTTTTCACGTTCTAATTGATTTATTGTTTGACGTTGCTCTTCAATAATAGCTGTTTCATTGATTAATTGCTCAAGTAATTGATTATTAACATCAATTTCAGAAATTTTCGATGGTAATTCACTTTTATGAAGCATTACTTGTTTACATTTTGATGCTGTTGTATTATTAATATCATTTGAATTTGTTGGATATGTATAATGATTATTGACTTTTTCATCATGAGTATTATCTGTTAATATATTTGTTGTTTGACTATTATTAGTCAATAATGGTGAAAGTAATACATGATCATCACAAAATAAATCTTCAATTGTTGCACTATCAGGTAAATTATCAAACATTAATTCACGTATATTATCAAGTGATGTTTGAATATGATTAACATCGCCACTTATATCATGTAAAGAAAAAGGTACAATTATTTCAGATGAATTCGTTGGTTGTATGAGTTTTGATTGTTTATTATTATTATTAGAATAAATTGAAGAATTTAATGTTGATGATTTTTGAGGAAATGTATTTGGAAAATTTATTTCTTCAGCTTTTATTATTGGAAGCATTTTTGTTGATGACTAGAAAAAGAAATAATTATGAGTTTAATTAAATAATTAAATATATTTAATTAATTACTCTAATTCTATGATTCGAGAAATATATTCAAAAAAAAAAATTTTACTTGTAACATTATTAACCTATAGAAATTATTCTATCAAAAGTTAATATATTATGAAATCTAAAGATTAAATTTATATTTAATTTAACAAAAAAAAAAAATTAATTTTTGTATCTATAAGATTGATATCTTACAAGTCAGATGATTTTTGTTTATTGACTTATATAGTCACGACTTTTCTCTTTAGAAAAAGGAAGATTTAAGATTATAGTTAAAAGAAAAAAAAATCTAGTTTAATAATAAAAAGTATATTTATTCGAGAGTGAAAACAAAATATCTATAAATTTTAAAAATATGATTTTAATATTTAAATCATTTTAAAACAAAAACAAATCTGCATCAATGTTTACCGTATTGATGTCTGTTAAATTAACTTCATCTATTTGTCCAATATTTGATTTTATTTCATGATTATTATCTGTATTTAAAAAAAAATCTGGAATATATGTCGATTGACTTTCATTATTTCCATTGCCAATTGTTTTATAAGATTTATTTTGTTGTGGAAAATTTAATGTATCACGAATTTCATTTGTTTGAACAGTCCATTCATAATTAGTCGGTGGTTGTTGTTGTTGATAATGATCATCAATAGATTGTATTGACGATGATTGAGATGGTGCCGGTAATGGTATCGGTGGTGGTGATGGTACAAGATCAACTAATGGTGATGTATCTGTTGTATGAAGCCAACCACCTGTATCATTATCTGTTAATTCATTAATTGTAATACCTTGTCGTTCAATATTAATTGGTTGTGATAAAATATGTTGTTGTTGATGATGATGATTATGATGTTGTTGTTGTGTTGTACGTTTATTTGGTTCTTCACTAAGCATAAGTGCAGCTGGTTTACGTTTAAGACTATTAGTTGATATTTGTGGATTTGTTATTGTATGATGTTTTGTTTGTTGTTGTTGAGATTGTTCAGTTGATTGTTGTTCAACTAATGGACGTTGTGTTTGTGTTGAATTTGTAAGAAAATGTAAAAGAAATTCCATTAATTTTGATACAATTTGTTGTTGTTTAGAATGTTTTTGTTTTAATATACTCATTTCACGCCATAATGCTTGATTTTCATCTTGCATATGAAATAATTTATCACTTAATGATGTTTGTTTAGCTTGTAAATTTCTAACATCATCAAGTAAATGTGATAATTCAATTGAACGTGTTGGTTTTGTATCAATATAATTTGTTGATACAAGTGCTGATGATGTTGATGTTGATGATGTTGATGGTGATGATATTGGTAATTCTGTTTTAGTTGTATGTATATTTAATTTTTGTTGATTATCAGGTGCACGTCGTTTAATTAATTCTAATAATGTATCATGTCCACGTATAAAATTTGGATGTGCAAATTCAATATCATCATGTTCACTTTTTAATGAACCATGTTCAATAGTTGATATTTTACGAAAACCATACATATTTAATTGTCGTATAAATGATGCAAAATTATTATGTTTAAAATATCGTGGTAAAATTTCACGTGCAAAACGTGATTGATCAAATACATGAAATGAACCACCAGATGGATCCCATGCAATAAGATCATCACATGATGGATCATTAACAAGTGCCCATAATTTAGCTAAAAATGCTGTTATAGCTGTTTGTGATGGTTGATTTTGTTGTGGATAATAATCACTAAGATTACCATCACCTATATTTGATGATGACATATCTTTTGTTATTGTTGTTGTTGTTGTTAATTTAAAAAAGAATGGAAATTTTTTATCTGAAATAAACAAACAAAATCTATTAGATAAATCTAAACACTAGAAATGAAAATTTTTTTTGTTTTAGATTTTTTTTTTTTTTTTTTTTTTTTTAAATTTGATTCCGAATTGTTTGAGAATTATATAACCAAACAGCATCGATACCTTCACCAAGTGTACAATCAAATTTTATTGGAAATTGATAACGACATGTTATAACAATACTTTCATCAGTTATTTCTTTCGATAATTTTTTTAATAATGGTTCCATCTAAGAAGAAAAAATTATTATTTATATTTATCTAGAATAGAAAAATGTGGAATCAGAACTACGAGAAAACAAATAAAACTAAAGATTAACCTAAAAATTCTTGATCTCGCACATTTCTAATCTAGGAATCGGAACGATGAGCATAGATACTTAAAAACATAAGAATGTTCAACAGTAAGAAATTAAGTTCGTAGATAACATGAAAGTAAATAATGACGTCAATCGATAGAACAATGGATATATATGCATGTAGGTGTTAGCTTTCTCCTCACACCCCATACACACCTACAGTTTGAAATTTCGGTCATATATTTTACAATAGCTTAAGAGAAGAATAAATTTATAAACAATGCATATACACGTGCTTTTTCTTTTCATGAGCTTTTTATATAAAAAGATAAAGTGTAAAATATTTTCTTGTTATATGCATCTAATAGATAAGGATTTATTATGTAGATGTTTGATTCGTTAAAATTATTGTTTATTTGACTATTTGTATTGTTTTAAATTGAAAATAAATTTCAAATCATTAGAATTTTTTTTTCTTGAGTTATTCGACAAATTTAATTGTACTCGAATAGAAGGCAAGAAAAACAACAATATCTTTGTTAAGATATAATTTTCTATTCTTACTTTTTTCAAATTATATCAACTATAACTATGTATTAAAATCATAATAAATTTTTACTATTATGATTTATTTCTGATAGAATATTTTTTGCTAGAAGAATATCTTTACAATCTCCTATTTCCTAACTTCAAAAATAAAGAATAAACTTCTTATCACCCTCTGTTTCAGTTCAATTGCATCTGAAATCTATTCAGAAATTTTTACAATACAGATTACTTCAACAGAAAGAAAAAACCTAACGTCGGTATTCAAAAACCAATGATCTATAAAGAAAAATAATAAATTCTCATAGATGTTTTCCGTAGTCTATCTACCACTTCATTCAATTCTGAAACTTAGTTAAACTATAGATAAATATGTTATTAATTAATAAACTATTCCTTTCGTCTTATATCTAAATTAATAGTAATACTTATTATACTTTGGTTATATTCTAAAATTTCTTCATATATCAAATTGAAAAAAAAAACAAGAAACTGAATTTTTTGATATTTTAAACATAAGGAAAGTAAACTAAAAAATATGTTTTAAATTTTCTTTCAATATAAAACAAAACAAAAAAAAACAAAAAAACATTGAATGGCAAAAAATGAGTTGATTTTGTCAGAAATTAAGTACAATTTTACTTACCATTGTATCAACACCAAATAAAACAATTGTATCATATTTTGATAAATCATGCTAAATAAAATAATCATCATTTATTAATTGATGAAAAAAAAATACATAAAAGAAAAATAAAATTCTTACTTTCCAAAGATTTGCTCGTTTAAATTGACAAATCTTTCCTTGATTAGATAAATATGCTTTTAAACGAGCATAATAAACAAGTACACGATTTATTTCAATACCAGTAGCACGTGGAAAACCTTGTTGAATTGCTTCAAATACCTAGAAAAAAAAACACAACGATAAAGAAGTTTTTTTTTTTTTTTCTTTCATATTTTAATTTTTACAATTCGTCCATCACCACTTCCAAGATCAATAAGATGTTGACGTTGTTTTGTTGAATATTGTTTTAATAAATTGAATATATTATCTAATTGTTCACGTGTTGCTGGTACATAAGGAAGTGCATGACGTCGTAATGCTGGTGTTAAAAAAGGTACGGAAAGCACAGTCAGACCTGTGCATATAGGATAAGATGATTAATATTTCAAAACAAAAATAATAATTCATGTTTTTTTTGTTTTACTTGCCAAAACCAATTCCTCCACAAATACCAAGAAGAATACGACCCAATTTTTTTGAATGTTGTTCGTCTTGCATAACGTTTTTTATGATCTAAAACTAAACGTCCGTAGTGAACTATATCTTTGTAATATGATGAATCATAATAGAGAAATAAGAAAATATGACGATGCATAAATATAGAGATATATAAATGGGACAGTAACAATCATCATATAACGAGAATCAATTTCAAAATAAATAAATAAGTAATGTACACACACTATCGGAAGGATGTCCGATTATTTTATGGATTGACCAATTGTTGTTCTATAATGAACAGCGACACTATTGATGACATTTAATGACATCTAGTGGAAGTTAATGTCAATCAATCAGATATAGTAAATTTCAAATTTTTAAATTTTGTCTAATGAATTCATTCACACGCAAAATCCAAGAAAAAGTTTTTTCTTTTGTTTTTGTTCTTTATTTATACATGGTTCGATAGAGCTTGACCAACTGATTAAAAACAACGAATCTTTAGCTTTTGTGTAGAAAGAAAGACAAAAATTAAGAAGTTGTTTTTTTTAAATTTTTTCGAAATTTTCTATTCTAACTTCTTTTTGTTGAACTTTTGTGACTAATATTTTCATATTTAGTGTCTAAAACTGAGTACAAAAATGTTATTAAATCAAATATGATACTAAAAATCTGTTGACCGGGATGACTCAAATCGGTTTCTATTCGAATGTGTATAGGTCGTTTTTGTAAACTTATCTTGTTTTTTTTTTTTTTTGTGTAAATTATGAGATCAAAAATATTTTATCTCATTTAATTTATCATACCACTAGTCATATAAGTATGCATTATTTTTTTCTTTCTTTCCTCTTCTTTGTCAAAAAACAATCATGTTTGCGAAATAACTAGAATTCTATCTATATTTTTTCATCAAAACAAAGTCTTCATCTTCATACAATAAGATTATCATATTTGGAATTAACGTAAAAAAGCTGGATTGGCTTGAAGCGGATGGCTGAAATTTTCACAAAACAAAAAAAAATTTTTGAAAGCATACATCAATCAATCTAATTTTTTACGCTAGTTTTGGATATAATAATCTTATTGCATGAAGACTTCGTTTTGATGACGAAATATGGGTAGTATCCTAGTTATTTCGAAAACATGATGTTTTTCAACAAAGAACAAGAAAGAAAGATAAAATATTTTATCCAGTAATTTATACAGAAAAATTAGATAGGTTTACAAAAACGATCTATAAACATATGAACAGAACCAATTTGTATCGCCACGGTCAATAGATTTTTAGAATCAGATTTAATTTAATAACGTTTTTGTACCCAGTTTCACACACTAAAATTTGGAAATATAAGTCGTAAACAGAAAAGTTCGCGTTGCGGGCACCTGATAATAGGTATACTAGAATATATGTTCCTCTAAATATTTTCTTAATATTCCGATCAACATTTATCACCATGCTTTAATTCTTTTTTTAAAGATTCATGATACAATTCTCCATAAGAATATATCACAAGTTTTACTACAGAATATTAAGCAGAAAAATTAGATTAATAATATTGCGAGGTTCCAAATTTCAAACAAAAAAAAAAAAGCAGATGGCCAATCTTGTAGGTTTTGAACAGTTCTATCTTTTGATCGTATTAGGAAAATTTTTGTATCAATATCTATCTCCGTGGTTGAATTATTTTTATTGTAAATTTTACAAAAAATAATAGTTTTCAATCAATGAGTTTGATGTTCTCAGAAAGATTTGCATAATCGGAGAGAAAAAAAACTGAGTGTAGATAAATCAGCTTTATTTCAATTTCAAGAGAGATTTCATGGTCTTTTTTTTTTCGTCTCAGTTTTAATAAATTAGCTCATTGGGTTTCAAATTATTCCAGCTAGAGTTGAATTGAAGTAGACTGTTAGATTAACTTATTTTTAGACACAGGAATACATGACATAAATATGTCGTTTTATTTTAATTGGTAAAATTTAATTAATTGAAAAACTTATACAATTCTTTTCATGAAATAACAAAAAAACAATGTTTATATTGTTTCAGGCAAACCATTGTTATCGTCAAAATGTGATCCACGTGTATGACTTTTTATTAATCAAAATCCATTTCTGTCTTCGAGATGACTTGTATTTTAGGAGTTAACTAGCAAGGAATCCAGTGTTTGACTCTGATTGTACGCTGATTTTTGTAGATTTGAATTGATCAGAAGCACCACCTGATATCGTTTTTTTTAAAGGAACATGTAAGAACATTCTTTATGGCTTTATTTCAGGAGATTGCGTACTAGTTTTTATAAATTATGTTGTGAAAAATAATTCTAAAACATGTATTAAAATGAACCACACTGCATACCATGAGACAGAGAATGCACTTAGTTTTACTCGTAAACACACTCTCTTGTATTATTATATTTGTACAAAGTTGAGAAAATATACATCGATGCGAAGCTAACACAACACAATCTGTCACCACGATCGTGATGGTGATTCTATTAGCAGTTCTGTGGGAACTAACGAAAAGACACGATAGGGGGCGCATACAGACGAATAGAGCAACATGAATTATTCTGTGTTCTCCCCATTCTGATGTTTGTCAACGCTTATCATCGATAATACTTTTAGAAACGTAAACATCAACAAAAAATATAAATAATCTTATTTGTGAGAGTGTTCTAGTTTTCCAGCGCATCACACATACGTCAATCGATGCAGAATTTCATGGGCTATCGGATTATGAGATCATTCTCTCCCGGTAAATGACTTACAGTGCCCAAAAGAGACAAAGTCTGGCCAAAATCGTTGAGAAAGTGTGTCATCTAGGATCTTTTATGATCTATCGAATGGTGTGGTCATTCTCTTTCGGCAAAAATTCATAGAAAAACTAGAGAATAACTCAATTACGAATATCCATCGAGAAATATCTTTTTATACCAAGGAATCGGATAACCATCGTTCGAAATGTTCTACGTAGTTCATTTATAAGAAATCGGAATGCAATCGAACTTATTCGTCATGTGATCCATGCAATGTCACATTTGATTCGTTCTCTTATAATGTTATTTCAAGCTTTTTCCAAGTTTTCAACTCGAATATCATATATTTTGATTGTTAAGTAGTTTTCTTTGTCAATCAATATGGCAGAATGAAACTGCCCTAGTTTATTTTTGGAGTCTCAGAAAAACATTGTTTTTACAACAATCTTTTCCAATCAGTAGATCCTAATTTTCATGAAGTACTGAGCTGTTTTTCGTTTACCTGAAGAAAAGCTATTCAATATACTCCTAATGAGTTCCTATTTAATGCCATTGCACCAATGACATCGCCATCCATTCGAATCTTTTTCGACACATGACGATGCATTCGAATTAAGTAGGAATAATATCAAATCACTTTTCATCGGCTAAAGTCTCACAGATTAACATACACAATAGAAATGGCAATGCTTCCAATGTTTATTTTGCTCTTAGTTATTTTTGGAAAAACTTGATTTCTATATAAGATTCGGATTGAATATTCTTAACTAAAGTCTCAGGGTAGTGCAGTATTCAGGATGCTTTCAGCAACGATCAGAATCTTAGTAGAGTTCTTTCACAAAATGAAGGAGAAACACATACAATTCCAAAACGAATAAATGATATTTGCAATGATAAAGCAGCTATGTATGTTTCACAACAGAATTGATGAGTGAACATACGAGGTCAGTTCGATGATGATGAGTTTGGTGAGCATCGAAGAAAATATTCTTTTCCAGAATTAAATCGTTTGATTATGCACATACACGTGTGATCTACGATTTCCCGGGTGTGGCTGTGGGTGTCGGTGTGTGGGTGTGGGTATCAGTCTTGTCTTACACCACACCACCCACTCCACACTCACACTCACACCCATACCACACACGCCCACACCCTATTGGGATGAAATTAGATTCCCATCAAAAAGGGGTTTCGCGCAGTCCTTACATTGGAAAAAATTTTATACTGCTTCTGCTTAAAATAATTCCTTACCTCTTGCTTCTTCCTCCTCCCATTTGACTTATCAACTGTGTCTATGAAAAACTTTAGATATTGTCTGCGAAAAATATTTAGCCTCTCTCACTTCCGAAAACTATTGATAGCCTTGTTAGTGCAAAAAAAATGGTATGTTTTGGTGGAAGTCCACCTGTTGTTATGAAAGAATTTTTCCTTTATGCAGCTTAACTTGATTTATTATGTTTAAAATAATTTTTTTTCTGCAAGTCGATTTTTTTATGATATATTGAATTTTAAATTAAAAAATTTATTTATTTATTGATAAAACTCTATATTTGTCAGTATTTATTCAGAATAATATTTTACAGAAAACTAAGTTAATTACAAATATATTACCATTCAGACAAAAACTAGATTATCTTTAGAAAATAACTTAAAAATAGATATACATGTATATAGAATAATTCTTTCGCTGTCGAACAATAAATATACCAATCTATATAAAGTGATTATTCATTTTTTATCAATAATCAGTAAGTAGAAAAGCGAATTCATAGGGAAGGCTTACAAGTCCCTTACATCGAAGTCATTTTATTTATATAATAAGAAACAACAAAATATACAATTAATGATCATGTAGTCCAAATGAACAATGTATGATTTTCAATTTTTACAATCACTTTGTATTCATCATTTTTATTTAATCCAAATGATTGACGTCGTTTTTTTATGACGTATTCTCGTGTACATGGATTCTCTAATAAACTATCGTGAGAAAAATGTACGAAGAGACAACGTAATTTTGCAAGACTACCGAGAAGAATATCGACGATGGATACACAAGAATCGATTGAATAGACATCAATTTCAACATAAGTCAATGATGGAAAACGTTGGACAAACTTCGACACATATTTTATAGGAAAGTACATATGATCTGCAGTTGTTGTAAGCTTTTTTATCCGATTAAAAGTGAGAATAAGATCTAGATTGTCAATTATTGTAGGCAAGAAAAGCAATGAAATACCCATGACAAGATTTTCGACATTTGAACATGCTCTAAAAGCAAAGAAAACAATGTTATTC